CGACAGTTTACGGTAAAAAAGGCCTAAAATGCCAACTCACAATTGCGGCCCGATGACCATCGGGCCAGGGTTCATTCGGGCATACCCGGCACACAGCCCTGTGGAAGGTACACTCGTCAGAAGATATGATTTTCGGCAGAGAGGACACCCTTGTAAGGCTGTAGGGCGAAGTCTGGAGGTATCGGGAACAGGTCGGTTCTGAGGGCCAACAGTAACATGCAGAACAGTAGTTGCTGGTCAGCAAAGGAGCACGAAATGCTAAAGGAGTGGGAGACGAGGAGTGGGAGGACGAAAGGGCTGAGACGCAGGAACCCTTTAACGGAAGAAAGGAAACATTTATACAGCTTCGTAACCCATGTGAAAAATGCAATTGCCTCAAGAGACACATTGTCCCCCCTAACGACTATGACCTATAAAACCAAGCATAAGACTTTAAATTGTGTATAAGTAATGATTGACAGGGTCATGGAAAAGCAGGGAAGTGTGAGTCTGCTTAGATATAGAGATTTACAGCTACATTTTTATCAATTCAAAATTGCGGGGTTTAAGTTATGCCACAAATGTGAGCACTAGATGTTCAGCTTTAAGTTCGTCGCTTATGCGCCTGATTCCACTTTTTACCAAGCACAAACAAGATACACATTTCAAAAGGTCCGGCGCAATGTATCTTTTCGGCGAACTATTTCAGACAGTCTTGGTCGAATAGAGTACTGTGTATAAATGGCCTTCGTGACGCCAGGAGTAGAGTATAACAAATCGTTAAAATCATACAAATGCAGAGTAAAATTCTGCTCCAATAAGCTCCGTCAGTGATGTTGCATGCGAAGGTACCAAAAGTTTGTTTGAAGTTATGGGTATTCTGGCTTCCCGGTCACTGCAAAAGAGAATGGATTGGGCTTTCTGGGTGAACTGCTGCAAATCTTAACGTGTAAAGAAGTACAGTACGTAACATCATCTATAACGGTTAGGTCAGACATGATCCCAGCCGTATGAAGTACAAGTTCAAAATATAAAATGAATAGTGGCTTGAAAAACTACATACACTTACAACTGGGAATGAGCACGCAAGCAATTGACGACTTGGAACCGTTTCATTGAGCGCAAAAAAGGAGCAACTGAGAACGCGCACTTGCCGACCCTGGCTGATCCAAGCAAGTCTGAGGCGTCCAGTCTTGGGACACACGGAGGGATGAAGTAGAGCAACAGTTGAGAGCCGGAAGCATTTACAGTCTGTTATTGGAACGGATGGCGTCAAGCAAGGCGGGACGGGTAAGTTATCATCATACACAACAGGTAAATCAAGCGACTCGACTGCATCTTCCGAAAAATTGCCGGAATATCTTGACTGGCCCGAAAAAGAAAACGACTGATGATCTGGATAAAAACGTAGTAGGCGCATATGTTGCGGACAACTGACGGTAGGAGAATCTGACAAAGAAGACCAATTATGGGAAATTGTCAGAGACGTTGCAACTTTACAGCAGCTGGCACATTCCAACTGAGGCAATGATCCCCAAATTGCCAAGACATCACCATCAAGAGCCTAAACAGCATAAAAATATCGTTTTAATTAGAAGGACGCTGGTCACCCAAAATAAGAGGGGGGAGCGATAATAAGAGGTTTTGACTTACCGGTGCGACCAGAAAAAGGAAAGTATCCGGATCATTGAGCGACTGCACGAAACGGACAGCAGGCATGTCTGACTGGAAAGGGCAGTCAATGTAAGTCTTAAAGGAGAACTGGGCAAAGGGCTGCTGCAAATG